TTTTTTTTTTTTTTTTTTTTTTTTAAAGATGACCGGTAAGGGGATCTTAACCCTTGACTTCGTGTTGTCAACACCAAGCTCACCCAGTGAGCTAACCGGCCATCCCTATATGGGATCCGAACCCGTGGCCTTGGTGTTATCAGCACCACACTCTCCCGAGTGAGCCACAGGCCAGCCCCTACAAAATATATTTTGAATTCATCTACTTCTCTGCATCTCTTCTACTACCTCCTTAATCCAAACGTCAAGTATCTGTCATCTGGACTGTTGCAGTAGCCTCCTGTCTGGCCTCCCTGCTATGACTCTTGTGCACCTACAATCCCTTTTCTATATGGTAGCCAAGTGGTGTTTTAAAAATGCAAATCAGGGCCGGCCCCGTGGCGCGAGTGCGGTGCTGGGAGCGTAGCGGCGCTCCCGCTGCGGGTTCGGATCCTATATGGAAATGGCCAGTGTGCTCACTGGCTGAGCACGGTGTGGGCGACACCACACCAAGGGTTGTGATCCCCTTACCGGTCACGAAAAAGACAAAATAAATAAAAATAAATAAATAATAATAATAAAAATGCAAATCAGATCATGCTTAAAACCTTTCCATTGCTTTGAATAAAATCCAGATGTCTTAATTACTTACATGCTCTTAAGGATTTATATGCTCTGGCTTCTCTTAGTATCTATAATTTTGTCTCCTTCCACTCTCTTCCCATCCTCCTCTTATTCTGCAGCCATATCGGGCCTTCATTCCGTCACTTGAACAGAGGAAGCTCATTCCTGTCTCTAAGCCATAGTCACAGTTTAACTGATATACAAACTCTGCAGACTAGGAAGGAGTGCTCATTAGTTAACCTGCTCTAGCCCAAAAGATGGTCCCATATCATTCAGTACTCTCTGCTGACATCATGGGGTCATTTAAAGAATCACAGGTCTTGGGCCGGCCCGGTGGCGCACTTCTACAGTGCGCCACTTGAGAGCGCGGTGGCACTCCCGCCGAGGGTTCGGATCCCACATACAGACCGGCCGCTCACTGGCTGATCCCGGTCCGGTACGGGCGCGACACTGAGGGTTGCGATCCGTTGCCGGTCACGAAAAAAGACAAAAAAAAAAAAAAAGAATCACAGGTCTTTTGAGAGATTTATCAGTTCTGAATTTTTAATACTGAAGCTAAAATGGATTATACACAGGCCTTCAGAGAGGAGGATCTCTAAACCAATATTCTCTAAGTGAATCACTGAAACAGAAAATAATGCTAGAAATTTTATCTATAGACTGATGGCATTATTCATTTAAAACTTTTTTTTAATAATGTATATAACACATTAGTACAGTACTACCTGTATGTAATTTATAAATTTAAAAAAATATTTGTGTATAGTTATGTCTGAAACATTCTTACATGAGTTGACTAATAAAAAAAAAACCCCAAAACCCAGAGACCATTGGATTAAGTAATGCTAATGAAATTAAAATATATCATTTTTTTCTAGTAAATATAATGTTGGTAAGCCAAGGGGTTCCATTGTTTTCCATGAATAGTAAGTGATGTCAAGGCAGAAACACATTGGAAAACAAAAGGGGGAAATATGAGAAGTAAAGACCGGTATTTTATTCTTTAAGCCAAACGGACTCTCCTAGAAACCTTATTCTTCCAATTATACATTCAATATGAATTGCATACCTGTTGGAATCCATTGGATCTTAAGCGCAATCCAAAAACACTATTAAAAAGACAATTCAGTTTATCTATCAATCAAGTAAGTTATTTAATGTATTTTAGACAATGGGACCTGACTGTAAAGATGTACAAAGATCCATTCTTAGTGATTTACCATGATTTTAAAGTCAAATTAGCAGTGCTACATATTAGAAGTAGAGATTTCAGGCTGGCCAGTTAGCTCAATTGGTTAGAGCATGGTGCTGATAACACCAAGGTTAAGGGTTCAGATCCCCATACCGGCCAGCTGCCAAAAATAAATAAAATAGAAGTAGAGATTTATAGTTTTTTCTTAGAGAACTGATGTTACAGGGGGAGAGAACTACTCATTAATAAAAAAACAGAATAAAATCTTGGCCACATCAAGATGAATTGTTAGAGAATAAGAACCAGTAGTCAAGTTTCTTGTTGTTTCTTTTTGACTGTGATTCAGCTCCAAAAAATAGACATTTTAGAGATCAAACTGGAATGTTTTCATTTGAGGATAGGGAAATAGCCCTCATTGGTAAAGCAGTGCCTCAGAAGAAATCTTAAGGCTTTTGTGAGTTAAATCATGGCTTTACTAAGCAGTAAAGTAGAAGTTGAGGGTCAAGGCCCTCCTAGATTTTGTTTTTAAAAGCAACTCTTTGTGATTTTTGACTGTTTCCACTCTGTGAGTTTGGTCACCTCAACTATGAAATATCCCTCCTCTGATTACTTGTGACATTTTATTTGAGTCACTCATTTGTCATTTACCATGTCATTTTCTGCACGTGTGAGCTTCTGTTTATGAGCTTCTTCTGCATGTGTGAGCTACTCTACATATAAGATTGTAATTTCCTTAAGTCAGGGATTATCTCTCCTTATCTTTGTATCCACAGTGACACTGTGCAGTGCCTAGTACACAGGCTGTATAGTAGTGAGAGAACCACATTGCCCTAGAGCAGGGTTTCTCAGCCTCCCCACTATTGACATTTTGGGCAGATGATTCTTTACTGTGAGGGGCTATTCTGTACATTGTGGGATGTTTAGCAGCATTCTGGCCTCTGCCTACTAGATACCAGTGCATTTCCTTCCCCCAGGTGTGGCAACCAAAAATTTCTCTGGACGTTGCCAGATGTTCCCTGGTGGGGGCAGAATCACTTTCAGTTGAGAACTACTGGTCTAGAGACTGGGAAATTTAGGTTATAGTCCTGGCTTTGCCATTATCTCACCATGTTTGGTCAAACTGCTTCACTTATAGGCTATGTTTCTTCTGCAAAGTGAGAAAGATTGGAATTTATTGGGTGTTTAATCTGGGTTCCATGGATAGCTTTAGGGAATCTTTAATCCCTTGAAAATTTATGTAAATTTTGTATGTAAATTTTTCTAGGGATCATAGCCTTTGCTTTCAGCACTTTCTCAAACTTTTCTGTGACCCTAAAAAGATTAAACCTAGATCAGTTAATATATAAAGTCATTTTTATCTTGTAAGATATAAAGGTCCTAACTTTTGTTCGATATGCATTTTTTTTTCTTTTATGAACACTCTTTGTAACTAGAAAATGCTGAGAAAGCACTTTGTGCTACCAGGATTTATTATATTGGCATGGACCACTTACAATCATGTATTGTTGGGCCGGCCCAGTGGCGCACTGCTACAGTGCGCCGCTTGGGAAGCGTGGCGGCGCTCCCGCCGAGGGTTCAGATCCCACATACAGACCGGCCGCTCACTGGCTGAGCGAGGTGCGGGAGCAACACCGAGGGTTGCGATCCCGTAGCCGGTCCTGGTCCGGTACGGGCGCAACACTGAGGGTTGCGATCCGTTGCCGGTCATGAAAAAAGACAAAAAGAGAAAAAAACAAAACAAAAAAACCAATCATGTATTGTTGAAAGACAGGGATAAATTCTGAGAAATGTGACTTTAGGTGATTTCGTCATTGTGTGAACATCACAGAGTATACTTACACAAACCTAGGTGGTATAGCCTACTTAGGATATATGGTGGGTAGACCTATCTCTCCTAGGTGAGTAATGCGTTGTGCTATGATGTACTAGGCAATAGGAATTTTCCAGCTCTGTTATCATCTTAAGGGACTGCTGTGGTTTATGCGGTCTGTTGTTGGTCAAACGTATTACCCATGACTGTATTTAAAGTACAATATTTCCTGCCTCTTTTTAAAAATCAGATTTTGAGGCAGCGATGATAAGGTAAATGAATTGAGTTACCAGCATGTGTATTAGAGAGTCTGGATAATGAAAAGAGTGTGTTTATCTTTTGGCACTCTACTCCTCGGCCTCTTGTTTCTTAGCCTTTTAAAATCAGTATGTTTTGTATGACTCTGCCAATGTGTGTCCCAAAGCTCCTCTGTGTCAGCTGGTCACTATTTATGGACTGCTCATATTTCAGGCTCAGGAGTTCGGGCCCTATGTAACCTTTGTTTAAGCTGCTGCCTCACAAAGTTTATTGTATTTGTTATCCTTAGATTTAAACCAAAATCTGGTCAGGTACTCCCTTTGGGAAGTTAAGGATGTGCCTCTTAGATTTCTTTTCTGCCACAATTGCATGTTATGCTTGCTGCTGTGCTGGTTTGTGAACTGTGGTCTTTCTTCTGCTGTTGCAGGTGAATTTGGCAGGCAAAGCCAGTCCTCTGTCACTCCTACAAATGGCCTCCTCAAGTGGCCTTTGTGTTTTGGTTCGCTTGCCCAAGCTGATCGGTGAAGGAAAAACACTACCAAGAACGTTATTGGACATTTTGGCAGATGGCACCTTATTAAAAGTTGGAGTGGGATGTTCAGAAGATGCCAGCAAGCTTCTGCAGGATTATGGCCTTGTTGTTAGGGGGTGCCTGGACATCCGATACTTGGCCATGCGGCAGAGGTATGGCTTGTATGAATGCTGGGATTCCTGTAGCTGTGGGGCAAATATTTTAGCAATATTTGTAGATTACTGGAAATCAATAATGAAACATATGAAATTCATTGGAAACCTAGAGGCTTGTGAGATGTATATTGAATTTGTGAGGAAACATTTCAACTTCTGAGAAAACTTTAATTACCTAGAATTGGTCTTTTTAGATGAAACATTAAGATACCTCTGTAAGCTACAGGTTATAAACTGATGGTCCTCCTGGCTAAATTAGGGCTGTAGATGTTTTTTGGTTTTATTTTTTCCCATATGATATTTTTTGAAATTTTTATTTTAAATCCAAGAGATTTGGGCCGGCCCGTGGCTCACTCGGTAGAGTGCGGTGCTGATAACACCAAGGCCCCGGGTTCGGATCCCACATAGGGATGGCCGGTTCGCTCACTGGCTGAGCGTGGTGCTGACAACACCAAGTCAAGGGTTAAGATCCCCTTACCGGTCATCTTTAAAAAAAAAAAAAAAGATAAATCCAAGAGATTTGGGCCGGCCCGTGGCTCACTCGGTAGAGTGCGGAGCTGATAACACCAAGGCCCCGGGGTCGGATCCCACATAGGGATGGCCGGTTCGCTCACTGGCTGAGCGTGGTGCTGACAACACCAAGTCAAGGGTTAAGATCCCCTTACCGGTCATCTTTAAAAAAAAAAAAAAAGATAAATCCAAGAGATTTGGGCCGGCCCGTGGCTCACTCGGTAGAGTGCGGAGCTGATAACACCAAGGCCCCGGGGTCGGATCCCACATAGGGATGGCCGGTTCGCTCACTGGCTGAGCGTGGTGCTGACAACACCAAGTCAAGGGTTAAGATCCCCTTACCGGTCATCTTTAAAAAAAAAAAAAAAAAAGATAAATCCAAGAGATTTAATTTAAAAATCTGTTATTTCTGGCTTCTCTTGAAAATTTAGATGATCTGACTACACTCAGTTCATAGTTCTAGATGGCAGGTAGTGGAGTAGTGGCTGTCCCCTTTAGATGAGCATCTATTTAATTTGCCAGAGTCTCTACCACTCCCCTTGTAACCCTGATTCATCTTGATAAGCATTTGAGTTTGCAAACCTTGCTTTAGACCAAAAATGATGATAGACCTAGCCCTTGTCTGGGAGGAAGAGAGATTTCCCTTTCCCTTAGAATTTCCATAGGAATAGAATTCCGTTTCAACTTGTTTTTTTAGGGGGTCACATCTACCTCAGGTATATGTACAGGCCCTCATTTATGATAACTTAGACTGAAACAGTCTCTCACCCTGCCTCAAATGACACTGACACTAAAAGGTTAGAGGATTTGATAAGCTAAGAGAAAACCTGATTAAAATCTGTATTCATCATAATTTTTAAAAATAAGATGAAATTTTATTTTAGTTGTTAGTTTGACTTATATAAATAAAACTCTTATAAATGAAGTATCAATTTTTAAAAGTATTTCCATTAAAATATTGTTGTAAAAATTAAGTCTGTAAAAGTATTTGGAGTATAATAGCAAAAGCTGCATTTCATCAGACCCTCCTTCCTTCAGTACCACCTCCCCAGAGGTGCTCACTGTTGCTCTGTGCTGTTAAAGGTGGTGTGTATAGAAGCTAAAAGTTGACTCAGGAGCAGACTGCATGTTTGGAGTCCTAGCACTGCCACATACTAGCTGTGTGACCTTTGGTAAGGTACTATATCTTTCTGTTCCTCGGTTTCCTCATCTGTAAAGTAGAGATAATAATGTTCCTGTAGGGGGCTGGCCAGTTAGCTGAATTGGTTAGAGCATGGTGCTGATAACACCAAAGTCCGGCATTCGATCTTTGTACCAGCCAGTCACCCCCCCCCAAAAAAAGAAAAAGTAACGTTCCCACCTCATATGATTCGTGTGAGTATTAAATGAATTAAACTATGTAAAGAACCTATAAATAGTGTGTGACATTTAGAGAGTACTGTGTAAATATTAACTGTTACTGTCATCATCGTCGTTATTGTCACTGCCACCTGCAGCACCATCATCATCTGATTGATTTGTCCTTCCAGATCTTTTTCTATGAATTTACAGTCATCTCTATCTTTATATATATATATATATATATATATATATATATATAAAAATTGAAGGTGCATTGAATTCTCTGGCTAAATGCAGAATGGCTGAGTGTCAAAATAAGAATTTGGCCAAAGCTGAATATTACCATGAACTTCTCTGGAAATAGGGATGAAGCTTTTATCAGGCCTTTCCTTTTTTAATAAAACTTTATTAAAATTTTGGGCTGGCCCGGTGGCGCACTGCTACAGTGCACCGCTTGGGAGCGTGGTGGCGCTCCTGCCGAGGGTTCGGATCCCACATACAGACCGGTTCCCGCTCACTGGCTGAGCGAGGTGTGGGAGCAACACCGAGGGTTGCGATCCCGTTGCCGGTCCCGGTCCGGTACGGGCGCGACACTAAGGGTTGCGATCTGTTGCCGGACACGAAAAAAGACAAAAAAGAAAAAAAAATTTTTTTTAAATCATTCTTGTTTTATTATTGAACATTTGAGTAACGAAACTAAAAAATTTTGACATTATAATGCAAGAAATTTGACATTACAGTGCAGGAATTATATTTAAGCACTATTAGCTATTAGATCGCTCCTGCTGTTTGCCGTAAGTAGTTGTACTTTCAATTGCCTTGGACATCAGTCAGATGAAACTGTCTTTCAACTGGGAAGAGAAGGATTTTTGGAGGGGGTAGTACTGTCATCTTTTCTTCGATACTCTTTAGGCTTTTTATTACATGTTAAACAAAGATGATTACTATAGAGGTTATTATATGTGAGTTTGGAATCTTTCCTGTTGAAACTTTGAAGTGGCAAAGATGTCATTTGTTTTAATTTATCCTCAAGAAATGTGAAACCTTCCCAAATAAGACCTTTTTTTTTTACACCCCCCCGCCCCAAATATGGCCTTTTTAAAAAAAGTGTAAGTGGAATTAAATAATTGAAAATTAAATATTGTCCTTCAGTGCAGGTAATGATTTCAAGAAATATGGACTGTCCATGCTTGGAAAACCACACAGCTGTTAAAAAGAATGAAATACAAACATTTATACTTACTGCCATGGAAGGAGGTCCATGGTACATCAAGTGAATAGAGCAAGTTACAGAATAAAAAAGAAAACAGTTACCAAAAAAATACATTTCTTCCTACTTCTACTTATATGTTTATTTGTGTATAGAAGAAGTCTGGAGTGGTCATTTACGCTGTTAAGAGTGGTTCTTCCTGAGGAATGGAAGTTTGGGTGGAAGACTTTCCCTTTTCACCCACTGTACTTCTCTATTGTTTGAATTTTTAATAACAAGCATTCATCACTTTTGTAATTTTTAGTAGGACAAAAGAAAATTTTATGTGTTCCCCTAATCCTTAATTTTCATTAATTGAACCCAAGACCTATGTATTTTACCTAAATATTTCTGTACTGTTTTGTGCTTTTTAGTCTGTGCTGCCTTTTGGGGGTAATGAGATCCATCTGCTTGTTTTGTAAGGAAAGAGTTCTTTTTCTTTATTACGATGATGATTTTGTGTGCTATAGTACTTGAGGGAACACTGCATATTGTAACACTGACATGAACTTCACCTCCAAGCTGCCTGCTCTACAACTTCTAGACTCCCACTTGGTAGCCAAGAAATCAGCTCTGCTGTTGTAGACCCACATGTTCTTCATATCACATTTATCTCTTGATTGGAGTCTCCAGTCATTGGACAAATTAATTTTTTTGCCACATTGCAGCAATTTTAATCAGGAAGTGTTTGAAGAGCAGAAAGAATAAGTTATTATTACTGGTTTCATTGTCCAGTGCTTTTACCTCCTCAATAAAAATAGCCTTACCATTTTTCAAATTTGAGAAGTAATGTACAAACGCTACTGATGGTCATTTAAGTTGCTTACAATTCTTTCCTCCTATAAATAGTGTTGCAGTGAAGATCCTTTTATGCACACTTGTCCTTAGGATAAATTCCTAGAAGTGGAATTGCTGGATCAGAGAATTTTCATGTTCAAATTTTTCATAGCTATTTATTAAACTTTTTCATAAAGGTTGTAAAAATATACAGTTTATAAATTTTAGATGAGACTGCCTAATTTTTCATGCTCCACTGATACTGTATATAGTTATTTAAAAATTTTTTTACAATCTAATAGATAAATTATCTATCATTTTCTTTAGTGTCTACTGAGATTGAGCATCTGTCATCTGTTTGTTGGCCATTTCTACATTGTTTTTAATATTTCTGTTCATGTCATTTGCCCATTTTTGATACATGATTTAATTTTTTCTTGTAGAAAGAATTTGCTCTGTAATGGGCTTAGCCTGAAATCACTCGCTGAGGCTGTTTTGAACTTTCCCCTTGACAAGTCCCTTCTACTTCGTTGCAGCAACTGGGATGCTGAGCATCTTACAGAGGATCAGGTACTTCTTATCAGAATATTGAAGAATGGAAGAGTCATTGCTTCTGAAGTATAGTTGTTTTTTAAATTCTAATTCTCAAATTTGATATAAGTATTGGGTGGAGATGCCTTCAAATAGACTCACTGTCTGGTGATACTCAAGATAACTGGTCTCCAATGTATATGCCACTTAAATGAAAGAGTAAGAGTCCTGTTATATTTTATTTTGGGGGGCATTTATTACATGCCAGGCATTTCAGAAAATATAATTTATTTTTATGAATACAAATGTACAATTTTAAAAAGTATAGCATTATAAGACTTATAAGAAACAGTAAGTAGTTCCGTGCCTTACCTCTCCCTGTTCCTTCTTCTCAGAGGCAGCCGCTTTCACTTCTTTCTGGTAATTACCATTATATTTTTAAATTATATGCATACATTACTCTTTCTTATTTGTATATCTTATTTGTATATATTTGACTTCTTACTGTGGAAAATATGATTTAGTACTCTTGCAATTCTCTTACTCCCAGACAAATACTTATTCCCTTCCCCACCCTCCCAGTATAGGTGAGTCATCATTTTTATCAGGTTAATATCCAGTATTTATGTTGGCATTATTTATAGCTGAGTCATACAGTAAACTGCAATTATATGTTTTTTCTTATACAACTTTTTGTTTTCCTAGGAATAATAATTTGTATTTTTGTTTCCTTAGTGTTCCATATACCTATGAATTGTTTCAACCCCAGACTCTTTACCGGAACTATAGATCTCTTCTTGTGTGGTTCAGGCACATCAAGTAACTGATTCGTTTCATTTTCTCTTGGAGCCATCCGTCTTGGAGACTTCTGTCATCCTGCTCCTTTCAGGACCAATTGCACTCCAGGCCTGCTGCCCAGCTCTTACCCAGCATTTACCATCAGCATGGGAATTCCTTCACCTCTCTTCTGTACTAGATCCACTGTATTCTAAATTCCATGTCTTTTTCCTTTCTTGTTTTGGTGGAGTACATTCATAATAGCCTCTTGAGAAAGGGAGCATGGAATTAATTTATGACATTCTGCATGTCTGAAAAGCTAGTTGGTTTGCCTCTCTCTTAACCTATAGTTTGGCTGAGTATAGCATTTTAGGTTGGAAATAATTTTCCTTCAGAGCTTTGAAGGCAGTGCTCCTTGTCTTCTAGCTACCAGTGTTGATGTTGAGTATGTGACTTGATTTTCTTTCTGGAAGATGTTCTCTTTATCCACAGTTTTTAAAAATTTAGATTGATAAACGTGAGTGTGGGCCATTCATTGTATCAGAGTTAAGTGGACTCTTTTAGTCTGGAAGCTCATGTCTTTCAGTTCAAGGAATTATTTTCAAATTACTTCTTTGAAAATTTCCTTGCGTCCTTTTTGTTTCTAGAATTCATATTTTGTAGACATTGGACCCCCTGAATTGATCCTCTGATTTTCTTAGAAATATATTTTCTCTCCTATTTTCCATCTCTTTTTTATTTTACCTTCTGGGAAATTTTCTCAAGTTTATTTTCCAATTTTTATGTTGAATTTAAAATTATTCCTTCTGTTTTTTTAAGTTATAAGAGATCCTTGATCTCTGAATATTCACTTTTAAATAGCTTTCCATTTTTGTTTAATGGATGTAATATCTTCTTTTAGTGTATTAAGGATTACAGAAGTCTTCTACTTCCTTCATGGCCTCTTCTTCCTCTGAATTGTTTATTTTAAATGTTTGTTTTGGTCTTTGTCTTTCAAATCAAAGGTTTTTCTCAAATGTTTAGATCCTTGGCTGTTCATTTATGTTTTAAAAAGAGACATTAAAAAGCTGATTGGATACATCAACTGATGAATGGGTAAATAAAATATGTTACAGGTTGAGCATTCCTAATCTGAAAATTTGAAATCTGAAATGTTCCCAAATCTAAAACTTTTTGAGCATCAACATGACACTGAAAGGAAATGCCCACTGGGAAATTTCAGATTTTGGTTTTCAGATTAGGGATGCTTAACCAATTAAGTATCTGCAAATACTCCAGCATCCAAAAAAAATTTGAAATCTGAATTGCTTCTGGTCCCAAGCATTTTTTTAAATTTAAATTTTATTTATTTAAGATTTTTAATTTTTTAAAATTTTTATTGGATCATAATTGATTATACGTATTTGGGGGGTTCAATGTTGACATATGTTGATCAAATCAGTATTACTAGCATATATATTGTTACAAATCATACTTATTCTTTATGCCCCTTGTCCAATGTCTCACTATCCCCCCTCCGTCCCTCCTCCCCCATTTACCCTAGATTTCTTCTCTCCTGAAAGAGTAATGGTTACTCTGTTGATTTGTTGCCTACATTATCTGTCCAGTGCTGAAAGGTGTGTTCAGGTCTCCCAGTATTATCGTAGAGCAGATGCTTCTTCAGTCACTCTGGAATGAGCTTTGTGGAGAGACACATCCTCTTCTTTTCTTTGGTCTCTGCTGGTGACTCTCCTTGTGTCACTGTACTCCAGTGGCTGGCAGACTGTCTGCACGGTGGTTGTGGCAGCTAGCCACTTTCGCGGCAGCTGTGTGGTCCCATTTTGGATAAGGGATACTCAACCTGTATAGCCATACAGTGGAATATTATTTAGCAATAAAAGATACAAGCTACAACATGGATGAATCTTGAAAGCATTATGCTTAGTGAGAAAAGCTAGTCATAAAAGATCACATATTATATGATTCCATTTATGTGAAATGTCCACAGTGGGTAAATCCATAGAGAGAGAAAGTAGGTTAGTGGTTGCCTAGGGCAGGAGGAACTGGGGGATGATTGCTAAGGATATAAGGCTTCTTTTCAGGATGATGAAAATGTTCTAAAGTTGATTTTTTGTGATGATTGCACAACTCTGTAAAAATACTAAAAATCATTGAGATGTACAATTTGAATGAATTATATGGTAGATGAATTGTATCTCAGTAAAGCTGTTGCATTACAAAAAGTTGATTGGAAGTGGCATTTATATGCTATGTGTAATTCTTGATCGGATCCTAAACAGGGATCCTGAATCTTGGAACATCTGTAAAAGACATTTTTGAGACAATTGTAGAATTAGAATAGAACTCTATATTTGCTAATATTCTTGTTTTATATCAGTGTTAAAGTTCTTGGGTATTGTGATTATGTAGGAGAGTGTCCTTGTTCTAAGGAGATACGACTGAAATATTTAGAGGTGAAGTATCATAATAGCTGCAATTTAACTTTGAAATGCATTCAGCCAAAACAAAAAAGTGTGGTGTGTTTGTGCGTGTGTGTGTGTGTGTATATGTATGCATACGTATATATACACTTTTTTTTTTTTTGGTGGCTGGCCAGTACAGGGATCAAACTCTGGAACTTGTTGCTATCAGCACCATGCTCTAACCAGTTGAGCTAACCAGTATATATTATATATTTGGTATATAATATATACCAAAAGTGTGGTATATATTATAAAGAGATAAAGCAAATATTGACAATTATGAATGTCAGTTGTCATTATTACTCTTTTAACTTTTCTGTAAGTTTGAAAACTTTCCAAATAAAAAGCTGAGGGGAAAAAGTTAACTGCCACCATAATATATATATATATTTTGTGTGTGTGTGGCTGGCCAGTTTGGGGATCTGAACCTTTGACCTTTGTGTTATAAGGCTGTGTTTTAACCAACTGAGCTAACTGACCAGCCCAACTGCCACCAAATTTGAAACCAAATTTGTGATCCATATTATTGCCAAGGGAATTCAGAATTTCCAAAGATCTTTTTCATTTTTTATTTTAATAATTTTTATTGTTTTTATTCTAATTATAAATATAATATTTAACAAGATTTTAGAAAATACAGAAAATAATATTTAAATTTGACATTTGAAAAAGTGCTAATAAGGCTGGCTGGTTAGTTTGAGTGTGGTGCTGATACTACCAAGGTCCAGGGTTCATTCCCTATATTGGCCAGCCAAAACACAAAAAGTGCTAATAAATGAATTCAGTAAAGTTGTAGGATATAAAATCACAAATTCCATTTACAATTTAAAATGCAATTCCATTTACAATAGCTATGAAAAAAAAAAGATACCTAGGAATAAACAATAAACTTAACTGAGGAGATGAAAAATCTCTACACTGAAAGCTATAAAACACTGTTGAAGAAATTGAAGAGGATACAAATAAATGGAAAGACCTCTCATGTTCATGGATTGGAAGAATTAATATTGTTAAAATGGCCATACTACCTAGAGCACTCTGTAGATTTAATGCAATCTCTATCAAAATGCCAATGACATTCTTCACAGAAATAGAGAAAACAATCCTAAAATTCATAAGGAACCACAGAAGACCCCAAATAGCCAAAGCAATCCTGATCAAAATAGAAGAAAGCTGGGGGCATCACACTACCTGACTTTAAAAGATACTATAAAGCTATAGTAACCAAAATAGCATGCTACTGGCATAAAAACAGACACATGGACGAATGGAACTGAATAGAGAACCCAGAACTAAATCCATGTAGTGCTACCGACAATTGATTTTTTTTTTCAATACTGAAAATTTTATTAAGCAGAAATTTACAGAGATCTCAATATGTCCTGACCTCAGTGCAAGAGGCAAATGTTCATATATTGGTAAAAAAGGAGATCCTGATTTAAAGGAACTGCATGTGTGGTTTTTCCCCTAAAATATTATACCCTATCTTTTCTTAACTGAAGGAGTCTCATCATCATTTAATCATTTCTTGATGAACTATAACCATTAACTATTATGCTATATATTAGTGCAGTCAGTCTGCTTTTTGATTTTGAGGTCACCGCTCTGATTTTCACTGCTCAATAACTGCCCAATAGCTTTCTGGTTTTTTTTTTTTTCCCCAATTCTAATTTATCATGGGCTGAGAACTGGAGACCTAAGCTTATTACATGTGCATATTAAACAAGGTCCAATAAATTTATGAGGGAGGTATTTGAATTGGTAAATATCATCCATTGGTTTTATACATCATTTTCACTT